ATGGCATGTTAAAATGCTTTATGTACCTAACAAAGGGATAGAAATGTATTGTGCAATGATTGTATACAATTATACAATTTAAATGTTTTAAATCTACTAATAAAAAAAAGAACCATGGGGGAAAAACATCCAATGAAATTCTCCAAAAACTTTCATGGTTTTTCTTCTATTTTTAGATACTTTCCAGCTTGTATCCAATTTACATATATTGCATACATGGCCTTCATAAAGGAAAAAATACCACTTCATTGCAGAGAGAAGAGGCGGGGATACAGAACAAGCCTGCGTTGGAACAGGGGAGGGGTGGCATAAAACTAAAGTATGTGTAAGTCCCCACTCAGGGCCCCAGTGTGTTGATAAAGATGAGGACATTCAGTATTCCCTGCCAAGTATTATTCTCAAGTGGAATTACTACTTGTCCTTTGAGCTCACTCTGAACTTTGTGCTGGGAACTAGTAGGGATGTGACAAATAAAAAGGGGGTGGTTTTCCGTTGCTTCAACTCTATTCTGCATAATCCAGCCCTCAACGTCTGCCCCTCGTGCAAACTGGAATTTGGAAGTGGTTCCATGACACTTCTTTATGGGTCGTTGCTTAGAGTAGCTGGAAAATGTAGGAGTATCGAAGCAAGTAATAACAAAGGCATTTCCATGTACAATTCCTGAAATTTCATAAGCCCTTTTTTATACCAAGCCTCAGAAATGATCTTCTGAGACAGGCTTTACTGTTTGTATTTTGCAGTTAATGTAATAGGCTCATAGACGGAAAGAAATTTGCCTTAAGTGATAAAGGGGCAGAAATATAACTTAGTTCTCCTAAATCCCACTTAAATGAATCCTATTTGCTAACTATTATGTCCCTATTAAAGTCAGATTTCTTCCCCCTTGCAGATAACTAAAGTAAACTTCATTTCTGAGTAGGTGGCTCTCTTGGAGGTTTACCAAATATCCCCTCCAAAGAAAGCAATTTATGTTGCTCTTACTGACTCAACTGTCCCCAAACTACAGGTTACCACAACCTGGAGCCTGATCTTGATTGAGCAAGTATACAGAGAGGAGCCAAACAATTCAAATGGGATTATCGTCAGGCCCTGGGAAAGAGCAGTGCTACTCTGCTTGGGGAGAAAAGCTTTGCCAGGGGCTAAAGAAACCAGCCAGTGGCTAGAGAACAGCTTGCCCTTGCATCTAGGGTAAACAAAAAAGGAAAATATTATTTAGGTTCTTTGTAAGCCACAGAAGCCAAATGGGGCTAACTAAATCAAACCAAAATTAATGGGCATGCTTTGAGCCTTCTACATAGGAAAAAGTAATTGTGCCTCTAGAAAGAAAAGAACCAGGTAAGTGCTGAGTTCTCCATCAGGGCCTCATGGGCAGTTCCTTTTGGGTACTACTGATAGGATTTGGCTGTGTCCCCACCCAAGTCTCATCTTGAATTGTAGTTTCCATAATTCCCAAGTACTGTGGGGGAGCCTGGTGGGAGGTAATTAATCACAGGGGCAGTTTCCCCCATACTGTTCTCATGGTAGTGAATGAGTCTCACAAGATCTGATGGTTTCATAAGGGGTTCCCCTTTTTGCTTGGCTGTCATGTTCTCTCTTTGCTTGCTGCCGTGTAAGACATGCCTCTCACTTTCCATCATGATTGTGAGGCCACCCTAGCCATGTGGCACTGTGAGTCCATTACACCTCTTTGCTTTATAATTACCCAGTCTCGGGTATGTCTTCACTAGCAGAGTGAGAACAGACTAACACACTGCCATCTGAATAACTCAGCTGCCATCATGCCCATTCTTGAGTCATTCCACTCAAGATTAAAATTCCAGAGGAGAAAAGTCAAGGCACTATCTTAGACCGTGTGTTGACCCCCTTGGCCAGAAGAAAAGGGATATCCTGATCAATAGCCCTGCCATGGTCTCAGGTGATAAATAGGAGTCATTCTCCAAAGGTAGGGTGAACAGGTGTTAGAGTGTTGCCCTGGACAGTCCCAGGTTATAACTGTTTTTTTTTTCAGGAGTAACTATAAATAGCATCACTTTTCACCTACAAAACGGTCCAAGTTTGGATAATAAATTGCATGATCAATTTACACAAAGGAAAGATGGGGCGTTGTTACCAAGGTAGCAATGCTGAGCAGATACAAATAGCTACCATTGCAATGAGGCTGTTAGTAGGGGTCAACACAGAGCGTTTTGCTCCCGGTCTCTCAGGACCAAAAGATGAGAGTCAGAGCCAAAAGCCCCTATCGGTCACTAGGCTTTGACTCCAGTGTGAAAATAGCATTCCTATATTCAAGCGTTGAATTATTACGACTTTGACCCAGTAGTTCCAGTCCCTTATCTTCCCATGTCCTTGCAGCTTAAGCACTGAATGTGAAGGTGTTCTCTTTCACTGCCGTTTTTCTTAGCTTAATTGGCCCTCCTGCTTTCCAAAATAGAATGCTAACATCCATTCACCCAGCTGGAGGGTCAGGGTGATACTAGATCCAATATTCCCCGAAGCCTGTGGAGGCTGGTTGCTGTATCCCTGACTACTGATTAATAATGAAGGAGTCGACCAGCACCTTTGGATTCTGATTTCCTCTGAGAGGCTGTTCTACAAGCATGGGGTCAGCTTAAAGGAAGCAGGGTTTTGTTTAATATTTTCTCCTTTCATTAGTGCACTTAAATTACTTTCTTGTAAACTCTGCTTGTTACCTAAATGTACTAGCACTTTTGTTAGCTAATTAACTTTTTATCAGAATTCCAACCAAAAATAACAAGAAATGTAATAATGATAAGGTATCGTGCCCCCTCAAAACAGATTTCCTTTTGCACTTTATCTCTTGGTACTATTCTGGCTTGTTTAATTAAAGTATCAGAAATTATTAGACTCAAATTATTTCTTGATCTAGTGCTCAAATTCTCCTGAAAAACTGCTTCCTCTGCCTCCGTATTTAAACCTTTATCAGTGTGAGGCAGATGAGTTTCCACCTGTTTGCAACTGGATTCATGTAATTCAATATAATTTTGGAAGAAGATCCTAATTTTGCCGCTAAGTAATTAAGCAAACAAATCAGATTTGGCTACACTGAGCTATCGTGAACGTTTAAATACGTGTGTCTCCTCTCCTGTGCTCTCGGACCATCAAAATGAACAACATTAATGTGCAAAAACACAAACCGTATGAAAGTTTAGCATGGGGTTGTGAAATTCAAAGCAACGTTCTTATTTATTTTTTCATTAGAGGGATGGGGCTCAAAATATCACCAAGTTCAAACCACTAACGTAAGTCGTGTTCAAGAAGGGTAGTCATGTCCGTTACAGCCTTCGCCGTAAGGGATGAGAAAGCACGCTTACATCCCAGCATTCAGGAGGAGAAAACCGTGAGACATACTGGTGATTTCTGCTCCTCATACTCTGTGAAAAAACTCCGGGTTGGAATGTGCTTGCTTCTGGTGGAGCTGTGTGAGAGGTTCGCCTTCTTCGAAGTGGTCTGCAACATGATCCCCTTTTGCACCATCAGGCTCGGCTACCACAACTGCCAGGCAGCGGTTTTAAACTTGTGTTTTATCGGAACGTCAGTGCTCACCCCCGTGTTCGCCGGATGGCTCACCGATGTCTATTTACGAAGAAACAGACTGGTGTATATTTGCTTGTTTCTACATTTTCTAGGTGAGTGTTCTCTGTGGACTGGATTGTTTGGTGACTTAATCGAGTAGATTATTGTTCGAATTTTTAGCTGATGTTATTTCCACTCTGCTCTTAGCATAAAATGTGATAAACAAGTAACCATGTGGTTTGAATGTATTTCATTCTTTGTGCTTTTGAAGAATGCTAGTGTGTGTGTGCGTGTGTGTGTGAGAGAGAGAATACTTTGATGCCTATATCATTGCACTTGTATTTTACAATAACTACTCCTTTACCTATCTGTCTTACTCCTTAGAATGCCTTCCTTTCTCCCTTTTTTACCTCAAGCCCAAATTCATGACACATTCCCTCAGAAATGTGAAATTCATCTGCTTCACAACTGAGATGAGATGTGCTAAAAAAAAAAAAGAGGTTTCTGAAGTTCATGTGAAATAATTGAGAAGTGTTTTTATCCAAAGGTGGTCCTTTAATTAGTCATATAGTAATTAAGATTGCATATGATGGCGTGACTTCCATATCATGAACTATGATTATATGCTTTAAAAATGAGTAAATTAGACACTACAGTGTGCTTCCTTACATATATATTAATGTATCTATGCAAACGTTTGGGACCAATTGCGAGAAATGCTGGGACAAGATCAACATAGTTTAATAGGGAAGAGAGAGCAAGCTGAAGAACAGACTAGAATTTTAGGATGAAAAGTTCAATTATTCTTCTTAAACGACAAGAAGTCTCTAAAGATACCATGAAAACGACACTTGAGAAGTGCTCAGGATGGACACACAGTGAGGGATTAAACAGAGAGATCAGAAAATCCCAGGATGAAGGCAATAACGTGCCGATTCAGGAAAGAACAAGTGAAAAGCTTTAAAACTTGGCAACTAAATAAAGGTACGATTGTGATGGGGGACAAAAATTAGCTCCTAGTTTCTGACCCGAGCAACTTGGGAATATAGCATGCTTTTCACCAACAATGAGAGGCACAGCTGAAATGAGTGTCGGTAGGGGAACGGATGAGAATGAGATGGATAGATATCAGGTACTCGACGTATCACACAATCTCAGGCAGGTGGTAAATTACCATTCAGAGAATCCGATGGAATGTAAGTCAAACCTGTAAACTTCGCAGCTGAAGTTCCATGAAATAAAAACTAAGTCACTGCATGGCAAATAATCAGTCAACATTCCACAAATATTTCTTACTGACTACTCTGACTAAGGCATTATTCCGGGTCTGGAAATGCAGTAGAGAAGAAAGCGGTCTGTTTTTGCTGAAGCTGACTTTCTGGTGCAGGGAGAGAGAAAATAAAAGAGGAAATAGATATAAAGTGATGTGGCAATGAGTTAGGATGAAAAATAAAGCTGGGTAGGGGACGGGATGGAATGGACAGTGACGGGGCTGCTACTTGGTGCTGAGAGAAAGCTTTCTGATGAGAAAACATTTAAGCGAACCCCAGACTCATTTACTCTGCTTACCTTGGTAACAGCCCACACCAGTAACATTTGGTGACTTCTTGTTTAACGTGGTAGTTTCTGTCAGTCTAAATTCTGAGGTCAGTCATCAGACAAGACGGAAATCCCAACTTTAGAATGGGGCAAACAAAAGACTTACGTCAACTCTACATCCATTCATTTTTTCACTAAAAGTTATTTCCTTGTTGCCCTCCACTTACAGCTGCCATCAAATTCCAACCAGTCACTAAATATCAGAGGTTATATTTTTAAACAGTCTCTTCTGCCTGAATGTCTACAACCCTAGCTGAAAAAAACGCAGCTTTCTCCTTTTTGACCATGCCAGCCGCCTACTTATTCCCCCAGTAGTCAGTCTCCAGTTCACACTCCATTCTACCAACAACACCGACTTCCTGAACAAACAAATCTCTATATTGGCTCTAGTGTCTAAAACATAAAATCCAAATGTATTAATTTAGCATGCAGGAACCTCACCAACCAAGTCCAAGTTCACCTCTCTAGCCTTCTCGCTCAACATTCAACCCCAACCTTACTGACCTTCTCCCAGCCTCCTTCCCTAGTTTTCTAATCTTACACATGCTCTTCTCTCTCCCTGAAATTGTCACCTTCCCTTAACTTTCCATCCCTTATCCATGACTGGAAAACTCCTGCTGTTCTTTCAAGAACCAAATAGTGTTTGCTGCTAGCTTCTCTGTGTTCAGCCACACCCATATAAAAGCTATATGATCGCATCTGTCACTTTAAAACGTAATTGTCCACCTGCATGGCTGACTTCTCTAATATACTCGTTAGTTCCTGAAGAGAAGAGCCAGTGGACCCCCACCACCTAGCAGCGGGAATGACACATCACGGTGCTTCTACAGCGCTACTAAATGCACATGTACTGATGATGCAATACACAGCTGCACACATCACAGAGGAGACTTTTCATCACATATGTCATAAATTTGTCTTTTTATTACATCATTTTACAACAGATAGGAATAAAGTTTTGATTTAACACAATCAATCAGCTTATTATGACATTTTCTCAAAAGATGGAATAAAGTGCTTTTCTAAGTTACACAAATACATCATTCAAACTAAAAGTGCCTTGTCCCTAAGTAAATGGTTGCTGCATGAAATGGTTTCCCTGCCCATCCTCTTTGGACATCACTTTATCTAGCCAGCCCTCATGTGACACCTACAGAAAAGAAGACGGAGCAGTAGACAGAGAGCAGTTAGTTCCACATCTGGCTAACCTTGAAAGGAAACATTTCAAACTCAATAATTTAAAGGGCACTCCTCATGGTAAATGAATCTGCTGCCAAATAGCAACTCAGTGCACGTATTCTTTACATTGTGAAAGCCTCTGTAGGTGAGATGAAAGCATTAGACCAAATTTTTATCTAAAGGAATTTATAATCTAATTGAGAAAACAAAACACACGAAATAAAGACATAAAAATTCATACCAAAAAATCTTAATGTCAAATTAATAAAATGAGCAAAATGAACTTGGAGGAGCCATTTTTCACTAATCAGATCATCAAAACAAAACAAAATGAATGATGGTAACTAGTATGAATGAAGGTCTTCTCATACAATGATGGTAGGAGATTAACTTGTTGCATTTTTTTTTTTTTAAGACAGAGTCTCACTCTGCCGCCCAGGCTGCAATGCAGTGGCATGATCTTGGCTCACTCCAACCTCCACCTCCCTGTTCAAGTGATTCTCCTGCCTCAGCCTCCCAAGTAGCTGGGATTACAGGCACCTGCCACCACGCCCAGCTAATTTTTGTTGTATTTTTAGTAGAGACAGGGATTCACCATGTTGACTAGGATGGTCTTGATCTCTTGACCTCATGATCCACCCACCTCAGCCTCCCAAAGTGCTGGGATTACAGGCGTGAGCCACCACACCCGGCCATGTGTTGCGTTGTTAAAGAATATTTGCCAGTGGATTTAAGAAGCCATAAAAATAGGAATGCCTTTGACTGACAACTTAGTCTAATAAAGAGGAGCACAAAACTTATGTGTCAGGGTATTTTATGGTATTCATTTAAAATAACTGGAAAGGTCTTTTAAAACACATTATGACTAGAATATCACAACATCACTAGAAATCGTGTTGGAAAAGTATAAAGGTACTTTAAAAATTGTTCATATTATTTGGTTACATTAAAAAATTAACAGTGTAACCTCAATTTAAGTAAAATATATTTATAAAAGTATATCTCTGAGTCGTGACAATATGGGCCTTTTGTATTATTCTGAGTACTTTCCTCTATTTTTTCAAATTTTCTGAAGTAAGAACATATTACTTTTGTAATCTGATGGGGAGAAATGCTATTTCAAAAAAAAATTATTTGACTACTTGATGATAGGAGGTCCAAGAAGGGAGAGAATCACAACTGGGCTACTTTGTAACATCGGGCAAATCACTTAACCACACTGATCCTGTTTCTTAAAAAATAAAAAAAATAAGAAAATCTTCCAAAATCTGTCCATTCACATCACAAAGTTTGTCCAAGATGAAACAATGTAGTACATGAACATGCTTTGCAAAATACAGTGAGCTTAGCAAAAGCATGGAATTGTACGGTAATTTTTATTCAACAAGGAGAGTCATCAAATGCGGTCCCTGCAAGGTGGAAGAGAGAGGACAGTCAACCTTTTTTTGTTACTTATGTCCTTTCTCCTTCCAGCTCACACTCCACTGTCCCCAGCCTTCTCATCTCTGTGTGTGGCCAAGAAGGCTTTATCCAGCTTTGTGAGAAATAAGAGAAATAAGAAAGGCATTACAGTAAGGAGAAAGAGAGGAAGAAAAGGGAAAAAAAAGAGACTGTGTTCTCCTCTAACTGTAATAATGTTCTTCTTAAAAGTTTTTATGTAACAGGCTTCTGAGATTTCTGAGATCATGGTGTTTTCTGTCACTCAATTGATTAAGAACAAATAACCTTTGTTAACAGTGGTTTTCTCTGGGGGTGAGAATACTAACAGCTTCATTTTTTATATAATGCATTTCTAATTTTGGCAAAATAAACATGATTTGCTTATGCACTCTAAGAGAAAACATAGTTCAAGCTTGAGGAGAATAAAACCCCTAAAACTCTGGATTAGTTAAGACACATACTGAAGGAGATGTTTACAATTAGAAAACATCAGGCTATCCCCACAACTGCGATGATAAGACACTCACCACATGATGCTGCTGTCAGAGGAGAAGCCCTGTGTATAATGTGATTCGGCGATCCAGTTGTGCTGTGCCATATTTATTCTTTTTTCTCTACCTACAGGCACTGCTTTATTATCCGTGGTGGCTTTCCCCTTGGAAGATTTCTATCTGGGCACATACCACGTTGTTAACAGCATCCCCAAAACGCAGCAGCACAGTCTGTTTTACGTAGCACTGTTGACCATCTGCCTTGGCATGGGAGGCGTAAGAGCCGTCGTCTGTCCACTGGGTGCTTTTGGCCTTCAGGAGTATGGACCACAAAAAAGAATGTCTTTTTTTAATTGGTGAGTAGCACTGATTAGGAGAGAAAAGAGGCTTATGACCAGTCTCACTGTTTACTTTCCGATACCATATGGATAGTAGTTGCTCAGTCTTGGTGATGAATTGCGCTGTGACAATGTGATGAATCTGTGATCATGAGGCAGTCAGTAATCGCAGGAGACTCTAAGTCTCGTGGAGACCAGTACAGCTTACCAGCACCTTCCCAACCCGCGCTGATACATTTATCCTCCACGTAAAAAGAGTTGAAGTGCTTTGCCCTGCAGAATAGAACATGGCTTTGGAACCAAACATACCTGGGTGAAAGTGTGGACTCTGCGTAACACAAGCTGGCTGATCTTGACCTAGTCATTTATTCTCTAGTACAGTTTATTCATTTCTGAAGGGGGCTAATACCTTTTCTCCAGTTTTATTAGAGGTAACACCATGTGTATTGCTGGCAAAGAACTTAGTGCATAGTAAGTGACCAAAACATGGTAGCTGTTAGTATGTCCATATTGTAACAGACTAATTTGGCAGAGATTATAAATTTCTAGGCCAATGAAGAGAGAAGATGCAAAGATGCAACATGGATTTTACAATTTGTTAAAACATCACCCAGCATCTCTGTTTCTCACCCAGTTCACTCACAATACCTAAAAGAATGTATATTCCATGAACTCAAACAGCCTTCCTGTGACTCTTAGTCTGTCTCAGTGAGTTCTTATGGAGTTCATCTGTTTTTGTGTTTTTTAAGGAAACAATTTATATTACTAAATACAAATTCAAGAAAAAAAATTACTATTTGGATCTTAATGGAGGGCAGTTATGCATTTAGAATAAAACTTCTTTGTTGCTGTTATCTGTCAGTGGATGTCAAACAGGTGTGAGCTACCTTGTCTATTTTTAGAGTAAATAGTGTCTACATGTGTAGGTATATGTAGCTATCGCAAGCAGTTCCTCTTTTCTCTCTTTCTTTTTCTTTCTCTTGCTCCCCTTTTTTCTTTCTCTGATTATATTAATATTACAAAGCGCTCAGCCCTGTTTTGGATTAAGTCCTAATGTCAGAGAACAATGCAGTTTTACTAAAGGTAGAAGGAACTCTTTACTTCCTTGCAGCAAATTCTGCCTCCTTGACCTGCCCAAAGGAGAAAGAAAAATCCTTCTTTTTTATTCTATTCGGAGGTTTTAATCCTTAATTAGCAACATCATTTTGATTAAATAAGACTCTGGAGGATTAAGACTGGAGAGCAATCAGTTGCTCTGAAAGATAGCTCTGGAGAATTTATTGTACTGTGGTCTTAGTCATTCAGAGTTGTGTTTAATCAAAGTGACATTTCTCAGTGTTGATTACAAAGGAGACATTATATGAATGAAATATTTCCTTTGGGAAACAGAGGGGACTCCCACTGGGTTTGTGCTTTAGGGCTTCAGGAAGGGGGATGGGGAACAGGGTGAAAATGAATTTCTGCAGCTGTAAGGAACCGGGCCAAATTTAGGATGAACACATTTGGATTTTTAAAAATTATTTTCTGAGTTCACTACGTATCTCAGGGTTTTAAAATTTTTAAGTTAAAGCATCTAGAGATGTGTGTAAAGAATCAGGCTGTTACTCTTTAATGTGATAAAAGAACGGATGGTACGCCCCTTGAAGGCTGAGTCTGGTTGTTTTACCTTTTTTTAATTTTCCAGTTTGAATATGAAAATACAGGCCAACTTTTAATAACGTTTACTTACCTTATTGCAGTTTATAGGAATGACTGCTGATTCCATTCCTGTACATAGTACAGAGGTTGGTGGCAAGATGGACAGAGACCTTACTGGTCAACCAGACAGCTGGCAGAATCCCGACTCTGTCACTTAAGAGTTTTGTGGTCTTTGGCAAATTCCGTAATTTCTTCATCCACAAAGTGGAAATATCTTGGAGAGCTATTGTATCACTTATTCATAAAGAATCCTGGCATATGATAGGTATTGAAATTATGACAGTTATTGTTGTTATTATTGCTAAATCATGTATAGGCCATCAGCTGAAACCAGTGTCTAAATGCTGGGAAAGAGGGAACCCATTTAAGAGGAGATCATCTCTAAAAGCAGCAGTTAATTAATTTGTAATCTGTGTCTTCCAGTCAAAAATGCCTCTAGAAATTACAAGCCTGATAAATATAATGAATTTCAGTTGTGCGTTAAAAAACAACCTACCACTTGAATCTGTAACCACTTGAAGGCTGCATTCAGTCCTGTCTGCAGCACAGATGTCGATGTTCATAGTTATGGGACCTTTAATGAGATGTGTCATTGCTTCTATACCACCTAAAGCTTCCCAATGATCATGTTAAGTAGCACAGACTGGAAGTCTCGGGCACTGAAAGCACCACTTCCGAATAAGGCTGCCAACCGTAGGTGAGAAAACCACTCCCAGCCAACATTACCATCTGGTACTGGATCTTCCTCAACTAACACACCTCACTAAAAAAATAAAGCTAAACTCCCTGAAATCAAGAGACATCATAATCTGCCAACATCCTTGTGTCACCCAGATCAGAACCTGGCTCATTCCACATATTTCGAAAGCTAAGATGGATAATTAAAAAGTGCCATTCTGGAGATCACCAAGGTAAATACACCTGTGCAGATTCTTTTCTGGAAGCAAAAAGAAGGAGGATAATGAAGTCTGTTCCTGGCCCCAATTTTAAATCTACCACAGTTAACCTCAAATCTTGTTTCTGCATTTCTCTACTTACTTCACCTGATAATTTGCATCCTATCTGCATATCATAGTTTGTTACTAAGGGGTTACTAGGGTGCATTACACATAATTAAAAGCCCAAATAGAATATTGGTAAAGTTCTTGAAAAAGTCTAGAGGTTCATTTATTTCACCCCAGAAATGTTGAATATCTGGTACTCAAATTGACTCTACATGATATGTCTCAAACTGAAACATTCTGACTTAATACTCAAATATCTTTTATCTTAGGGAAGCACTAGAGGTAAAAATGCATTATCCCACAGCATTTTTCCAGAATCTATTTTAGTATTCACAAGAACACTGAGAAAAATGATTGTCAATCCTAGGTGCACATTAAAGCCACCTGAGGATCCTTTTTTAAAAAGAGCAAATGCCTGGGTCCTGCCGCCAAAGATGATTATTACATTGGTTAGAGGTAGGACCCATGGACCAGGATGTTTTTGAAGCTGTACAAGTAGTTAGAGTTGAGAGCCAGTGTTCTAATGCAGTGTTGCTGATTTTAATTATCACTTGAGAGCTTTGTTGAAAATGTTTCCCAGGTCCCATCTTGAACCTCCTGGATCACAATTTCCTGGGAGGACAGGTGGGAAATGCATATTTTAAATGAGTACTATCTTAGTCTATTCAGGCTGCAATAACAAACCAGCAGAAATTGACTGGCTTATAAACAATGGAAATTTATTTTTCACAGCTCTAGAGGCCAGAATTCTGAGATCAGGGTTCTGCTGAGGATTCTCCTCCTGGATGTAAGACTGCCGGCTTCTCACTATGTCTTTATATAGTGGAAGGGGCAAAGGAGCTCTTGGAGGTCTCCTTTGTAAGGGAACTAATCCCATTCAGAAGGGCTCCAACCTTACGATCAAAAGCCCCACCTCCCAAATACACTACTTCCTAATACCATTGTTACAGGATGCGTAACGACTAATACCAAGTTAGGATTTCAACGTATGAAATTTGAGGGGACACAAATCTTCCTACTATATCAAGTACTTCAGGTGATTCAGAAGATCAAAGTGTGGAAACAATTTCAGAACCACAAGGAAAGTCTAGTGATGCCTTTGAAAAGAAATGAAACCAATCACTGATTGTGAACCCACTGCTGTGTTTCAGACTGCTTTGGAACTTTTTGACAATTTTATAGCAATTATAATCACATTTAGACATCTACCTGATTGAGAAATTCAACATAATTCTGAAAAGATAGAGAAAATATGTAATTCGACATATATTCTTCAATTGTAAAATCAGTTTATAAGGTCCATTTCAGCCAACAGAACCAAAGCAGTTCATGAAATGATCTTACTGATACTCAAATGTCCTGAGTTGCATGCTGAGGAGTAGTAGCTTGTAAATGGCTTTGACAAAAATCACCAGGCCTTCCCAAATTCTGTTTGCACTGGCTTTAGCCAGTTTAGCAAACGCTACCCTCTCACCCTAATAACGAAAGCACCTGCTTCTTTACCTTTGCCAAAAGCGTAAGCTTTCAGGAAGTACACTCAGAACTTCCTTCCAACATATATGACTGTGGAAACCAAAGACCACCGAAGGAAAGAAACACAAGACAGTCCTTACCTTTCTTAATTTTATGTTGCCTCCTGCATTTTCTTAAGCCCTGCACATTCTCTTTTAAGCTTGAAAGGTACATGAGTCAGGACAACTGTTAAAATTAGAGTGTTTGCCAGGCACGGCACCTCACACCTGAATCCCTAGGCTCTGGGAGGCCTAGGCAGGAAGATCACTTAAGACCAGGGGTTTGAGATAAGCCTGCGTAACCCCATCTCTACCAAAAAAAAAAATTCTTTTAATTAGCCAGATGTGGTGGGGTGAGCCTGTAGTTCCATGTACTTGAGAGGTAGCCTGGGTGACAAGAGTGAGATCCTATCTCACAAAAAAAAAAAAAAAAAAGGTTGGGGGTTGTTGGCAAAAGCATGAGGGACTGGGAAAGGGAATGAAAGAGGTCAGAGAGTAAGAGACACAGGGAACGCTTGGAAAGAGCGTAAAGCAGTCCCCCGATTTTTACGCTAAAAACTGCTTCAATTCTAATGTCTAGTTGCCAAAATCAATATTTTATTAAATTGTCTTTTTTTTTTTTTGAGATAAATTTTTTTTTTTTTTTTTTTGAGACGGAGTTTCGCTCTTGTTACCCAGGCTGGAGGGCAATGGCGCGATCTCGGCTCACTGCAACCTCTGCCTCCTGGGTTCAGGCAATTCTCCTGCCTCAGCCTCCTGAGCAGCTGGGATTACAGGCACGCGCCACCATGCCCAGCTAATTTTTTTTTTTGTATTTTTAGTAGAGATGGTGTTTCACCATGTTGACCAGGGTGGTCTCGATCTCTTGACCTCGTGATCCACCCGCCTCGGCCTCTCAAAGTGCTCGGATTACAGGCTTGAGCCACCGTGCCCGAATTGTCTTTTCTTTAACAGCTCTATGGGGGGGGGGAAATTACAGATAAAAACGAAACTTAAAGTTTCTATTTGCCCCTTCTTTCTCCAAATACTTGGCTGCCAGAATATTCTTTGAAGTTCTTCAGCGGCCAATGGTTATGCTAAAAGCAGCAATGATTGACAGCAGCCATCCACCATGAAATCACTGCCCGAGTATTTTATTTCACTGACTCCTCTAAACAGTTCAATATTATCCCATTGAAGAGTCACAGATCCCCTGGAAAATTATCTCAGTATTGATCAAAGTAGAATGAAATACTTTCTCTGGAATATTTAAATGGCCCGCTAATGCTGTGAAGACCTGAAACTTGCAGGAAACTTGACTCCCTTCTTTGATACTGTCTCAGGTTGGGAGAGACCATTTTAAACAGTCTCTCTTCAAATCACTAAGAAGAAACATGAAACGTGTCAAAATTGGCCAGTCTGAGAAACAGCAAAATATTTGAGTAATTTAAATTTATTACTAAATTAATTAAGTGAATATTTAAAATAATCTGGGGAGAATTGCTGAGCTCTGCAGCAACAATTTTTTTCTCATTCCTATTCAATACCATACAATCATGAAGACAAAAAAATTACCACTTATCTACACTCCCAATTATTTGCACTTCCCAGTCTATATTTAAAAGTAGACTAAAGAAACATATTTTTACTGCTGCTTTCAATTTTTCTTAATCACTGGTATTTGTTTTGCTTTAGTGCTTTGCTCTCTGACTTTTTGTGTGAGAGGTGCTTTATAAATTCAATTTGCTAGTGAGCTATGAGATGAAAGAAAGCAGTCTTAATGATAAGTTTGAAGACTGTGGGTTTTTATTTCTTTTATGTTTTTATGGATGATACATATACAATTTCACCCTTAATTATCTAGGGCTTGTCCTGTCCATGGATCAACAAAGACATATATAAAGCATGCCTGTAATAGGTAATTCTTTCAGAAAATTACACAATCAAATAGGTTGGGTGACATTTGTTAAAATACATTTAGTACTTCATGTAAAATCTCTTCCTAGACATTCAGCACTATAATGTTTTGGTTTCTAACTGCTTTTCACAAGATTTAAGCCTCGAATAATCATAATTGTCCTTGACCCTCTTTAGAGCATTGCAGTTCACCTCACCATGTGGTAGACTGAAGAGTCACACAGTGTTCTCTTGGAGTTTCTCAGCAACGCTTGACATTTTCCAAAGGGTTTCCTAAAGATGGAAGGAACTGTAACAGCGCTTTTGGCTCCAGATTCTCTCTGTTGCTGCAGCCGCAGTCAAGTGTATGGCTTGCAACAGCATGAAAGGATAACCCGCGGCTGAGCCTAGGGGCTCCATCCAGTTGTCCCAGAAAATTATTACTTTTTGTACCTCACCTACATTGTGATAAATAAATTCCTGTTAGTGGATGACAGTAAATCAGTTTGCTCAATGTGATCATGTTCGATGTTCTATGACTCTTCTCGGTCAATTACTGACAGGTTTTACTTTGTTTTCATTGTGTTTGTTTGATTAATTGATTTTTATGAGATGCCTTATGATTAATCTATTTCTTATTTAATCTCCATTTATTTTGAATCTAGTACTCTGCTAGGTCTCATGGAGATAAGGAAATAAAGAGTAAAATGTTACCAGCAGGGAGCTTCACAGTCTATAAACTAAAAGCAAAAAACGGACAAAAATGAAACAATTAAAGAATGAGTATTTGCTTTAGAAGTTCAGAGAACAGGCCGGGTGTGGTGGCTCTTGTTTCTAGTCCCAGCCACTATGGGAGGCCAAGGCAGGTGGATTACTTGAGCTCTGGAGTTCAGACTAGTCCGGGCAAAAGAGCAAAACGCCATCTCTACAACAAATAAAAAAAAAAAAAATTGGCCAGGCGTGGTGGTGCACACCTGTGGTCCCAACTACTTGAGAGGCTGAGACGAGAGGATCACTTGAGCCCAAGGGGTCAAGGCTGCAGTAAGTTGAGATCATGCCACTGCACTTCAGCCTGGGCAACAGAGTGAGATCATATCTCAAAAAAGAAAAACGTTTGCAGAAGAGAACAAGTAGAATATTCAAGAAAGTATGTAATGAAGGAAAAGAGACTGAATGTGGGACTTTGAAAGTGAGACAGGGCAAACAAGAAATAGGACAAGTTAAGGAGACAAGCATGATAGGTGTGTTTCAGGGAGAGCGAGGAGGCTAGCTTGATTTGACACATCTTTCCAAACACATTATCACATATCTATCCACTTCTCTCTCTTTCCTTTGCTACCACTGTGGCCCAGTGTGCTCTTAGCTCTCATCCAGACTGTTAAAATAGCTGTGATTTTCTCCATACCTTGCCTCATGTGCAATTCATGGAGCTGACACAATCATCTTTCCACAGAAAACAAGATCATATGCACCCTCTGCTCAGTTCCCTTCAGATGGGTTCCCAGTGCACTGAAAATAAAATCCAAACTTCTTACCATGAACTGCAAGGCCCCTAAATGACCTGGACCACGCTTCCTGCTTCATCTTTTCTTTGACTATTCTATCCCTTGCTCGCTGTATTAGTGTGATTTCATGCTGCTGATAAAGACATACCCAAGACTGGGAAATTTACAAAAGAAAGAAGTTCAATTGGACTTACGGTTCCATGTGGCTGGAGAAGCCTCACAATCAGGGTGGAAGGCAAGGAGGAGCAAGTCACTGCTTATAGAGATGGAAGCAGGCAAAGAGAGAGCTGTGCAGAGAAACTCACATTTTTTAAATCATCAGATCTTGTGAGATTCATTTGCTATCATGAGAAGAGCACAGGAAAGACCCACCCCTGTGATAAATTATCTCCGATTGGATCCCTTTCACAGGGTGTGGGAACTATGGGAGCTGCAAGTTGAGATTTGGATGGGGACACAGAGCCAAACCATATCACTCACTGTGCTCCAATTTCACTGCTCTTTTTTTCCTGAAACTGTGATTGGAGAAAAATGAACATTTGATGATGATGACATTTGCGTAGCACCATGTAGTTACAGTCCATGTTCTTCATTAAAATTTTTTACCAAAAAGCCTGTTTAGAGTATGTGATTCCCATTTTAAAAATTACCCTGAATTCTAGAGAGTAGAAGATCACGGATCATGTGATTTTCAGATTTTGTGACTCTAACTCATGTCATCAGACTACCAGTCTGAAGAGGCAGAACAACAATTACAGTTAATTGATATATAAAATTGTTAATTGATTGATATATAAAATGTGATGAGAGGAATGAAAGGTAATTTCAAATGTTAAAGGCTGGATTAACAAAAAATGATAGTGTCATGAAATTGATAACCGCAAAGACCCAGAAAGAGGAACTAACAGAAGATTTAGCCCAGTTAGCCCTGTACCAGGATGATGGCTGCTGCTCATGGCTCTATGAGCAATACCGCTGTGTGAGTTCGGATGAGTAATTTCAGTTCTCCAAGTTCAGATTTCTTCTCTGAAGGAGAGAGAGAAAAGTTTTCTGACCTCAGTTTAGGCAATGATTTCTGAGAAACAATCCTAAAAGAATGATCCATGAAAATAAAATTGTAATAGGACTTCATCACAATTAATCTTCTTTTCAAAAGACACCTTTAATAGAATGAAAAGACAAGCCACAGACTGGGAGAAAATACTCACAAACGACATAATTGAGAAAGGACTCATAGCCAGAACATATAAGGACAGAAACCTCACTAAAGAAGATGTGCAGATGGTAAATAAGCACATGGAAGGATGCCCAACATCATTAGTCATTAGGGAAATGCAAAATAAAACCACAATGAGACATTGATACACATGTACTATACCATTATTTGGCAAGGATATGAAGACTAGAACTCTCATCCGCATGTGGTGATAATATTAAATGTTACAACTACTTAAAAACTCTTTGAAAATTTCTGTAAATGTTAAATATACATCTACCATATCACCAAGTCATTCCACTCCTAGGTTTTACCCAAGAGAAATGAATGTGGATGTCTGTTCAAAGACTTGTACATGAATGTTCTTAACAGCATTATTTGTAATAGCTATAAGCTGAAAAATGTCTATTAACAGATAAATGCATGAACAGTGGTACATTGACATAATGGAATAGTACTTGGCAATAAAGAGGAATGTGTACAGACAAATACATTAACAAGAATGAATCTCAAAATAATGGTGCTAAGTGAAAGAAGCTAGAAGTCAGATTAAAGGATACAGATAATTTATTTTTTTTTAAATATATATGAATTGCAAACTAATTTATAGTGACAGAAAAAAGATCAGTGGTTGCCTAAAGATGAGGAAGGGCAAATGAGAAGGGTCAGGGGGAGGGATGACAAAGGGACATGACGGAACTTGAGAAGCAATGGATATGTTCATTATCTTGAATGTGGTAATGATTTCATGTGTGCATACATATTCAAAACTTATCAAATTGCACACTTCAAATACATGCAGTTTATTGCATCTCAATTATATCTCAATAAAGCTCTTTAAAAAAACAAGAGAAAAGAAAGTAACAGTAACCAAGCAGTATGGTATTGGCATAAGGATAGATTAGTGCAACAAAACTGAGCATCAGAAAATAGACCTACATTTGTATGGTCAATTGATTTTCAACGAAGTTGTCAAAAAATTATTGAGGAGCAGGGCGCGGTGGCTCAAGCCTGCAATTCCAGCACTTTGGGAGGCTGAGGTGGGTGAATCATGATGTCAAGAGATCGAGACCAGCCTGGTCAACATGGTGAAACCTCATCTCTACTAAAAATACAAAAAATTAGCTGGGCACAGTGGCACGCGCCTGTAATCCCAGCTACTCAGGAGGCTGAGGCAGGAGAATTGCCTGAACCCAGGAGGCGGAGGTTGTGGTGAGCTGAGATTGTGCCATTGCACTCCAGCCTGGGTAACAAGAGCGAAACTCCGTCTCAAAAAAAAAAAAAAATTATTGAGGAAAAGAGCATCTTCTTAATAAATTGTACTGTAATAACTGAATATCCACACAGGAAATAACTACCTCAAGACACCCTACTGAAAATTGATTCAAATTGAATTATTGACTTTATATAAGATCAAAACCCATAAAAGTGATTTTTTTTTTCAAAAATCACAGAGGAAAATACTTGTGATTTAGGCTTGGAAAGTATTCTTTACATGGGACACAAAAAGCACAAACCAATAAAGATAAAAATTGATAGACTGAAATTTAATAAAATTTTAAACTTTTGCTCCATTGAGAAAATGAAAAGGAAAGGCCCATATTATAAGAAAATATTTGTAGAACATGTATCTGACAGTTGACACACATCCAGAATATATGAAGAGTTTTGACAAATCAATAATAGGAGAAGAAACTACCCAATTAAATATATATAGAGAGAGGATTTCCATTATTAGTCAATATGAGAAGAGCTCTATTTCTCCCAGGTACCCTCCTTACATAAAAAAAAAAACACAAAACCTAAACCTAATACAACAAACAAACATGGGGAGATTCCAAAAGGTAGAAAGAAGACAGTCTCTTCCTAGGGTCCTTGGAACTTGAGGAAGGACAATAATGAGTGTCCCGGTTTTTGTTGTTGTTGCTGTAAGTGCGGCTATGGAGAAGCCTAGAACTTGGAACCAGGCACAGATGGGTGAGAGCCGAGGTGTGGCAAGGAATGGGTAGCTCCAAAAAAGTCCCTCTCCCCTTACCCAAAGTACTAGGAAAAAGGTAGCTGAATATAGGAGAAAATATTTTTTATGCTATCTGTCCTTCTCCAGCCAAACACTATTAAAATCACTGCCTCCCCTGCATATTTCTGGCCCCATAGCTTCAGCAGACACGAGCAACAGTCTGATATTTTACATAAACACTCGGAGAATCAGGCAGGAACACTCTGATTCCCAAGTGGAGTGGTGGTGCTGAGGGCAAGGGAGGAGCTTGTCTTTCATCTCCTGCCCAGCAGAAGCTGGCAGTGCTCTCATTCACCCTCCTGGGTGGTGTCAGCTGGGTACAGCAGGGAGCTGAACCTCTACTCCCAACCAGCAAGTACGCAGCAGGGCTAGTCTCCAATTAATTAACAATAATATTCCATGTCCTCAATTACTCTTTCTCCCCTGCTTACTTTCTTGTACTCTCCTGTGTTATGGAGGAAATAATCTTAGTTAAAATTCAACTCTCCACATATTCCATTATTGTACTCATACAGCAACAAATCTGGAGAAAAATGCAAAATTATATTATGTTCCCATTAAGTTCATGACCACCAAATTGGTTCCTTATCATTGCCTAGCAAGTATGTGATGTCCAGTCAATTTCTCTCCTTCTTTAGATTACTATTTCTAAATATTTTCTTTCTTCTCAAATGCTCAATATTCCCTTTCCATTGCCAGTTTTGCCTGTTGGTTTTACTTCTCCTTTTACTTATAAGAAATAGAGGGAAATAAGGGAAGGAATGAGGGAGGAAAAGAGGGAGGGAGGAAGGCAAGGAAGGAAGGAGGGTAGGAAGGAAGGAGGGAAGAAAGGAAGGAAGAAGGGAAGGAAGGAAGGAGGGAGGGAGGGAAGGAAGGAGGGAGGGAGGGAGGGAGGGAGGGAAGGAACGACGGAAGGAAGGAAGGAAAGGAGGGAGGGAATGAGGGAGGGAGGGAAGGAAGAATGGAAAGAAGGAAGGAAGGAAGGAAGGAAGGAAGGAAGGAAGGAAGGAAGGAAGGAAGGAAGGAAGGAAAGGAGGGAGGAAATGAGGGAGGGAGGGAGGAGGGCAGTTAGAAGATGTGCAGCCTGGACAACACAGTGAGACCTTATCTCTACTAAACATAAAAAATAGAAATAAAAATTACCAGGTATAGTCGTACATGCTTTTGGTCCCAGCTATTTGAGAGAAGCTAAGGCAGTAGGATTGCTTAGCCTGGGAGGTCAAAGCTGCACTGAGCCTTGACTGCACCACTGCATTCCAGCCAGGATGACAGAGTAAGACTTTGTCACAAAAAAAAAAAAAAGAAAGAAAAGAAAAAAGAAAATGGTGTGGGCATGCCCCAGGATGACCCCAGCGGATCACGTTCCTGCTTAGACCCTTCCCCCTAGTGTGCGCACAACCAGTAACCTGATTCAAGCCAATAGCGTATGGGAACGATGATGGGATAGCACTCCCCTCATGTTATATGGTAAAGGCGAAGGGAGTTTGAGGTTTCTCATTCGTTCATGTGAGTTGATCAGAGCCCAGATTATACTGGGTGAGTCCCATCTGATCACATAAGCACTTTACATTTTAGTGATAGTGTAAGTGTACTAAAACATATCTGTCGGTGTTTGCACAACTGAAGCACGTCAAAAAACTAATATGTATACAAGTTATACACTTAAATGAGTAAATTTTATTGTATTTAATTTTACCTCAATTTTCTAAGTAGAAGTTAAAATCTCTTCTTTGCAATGGGATTCTAATGGCAAGATTTAGACCCAGTGAAAGCTTGAGAGGTAGAGATGATTTTCTCAGAACCTGCCAACCAGACTGCTGGAGTAGGTGCCTCTCTGCAATACTAACAATTGGAAGAAAAATGGAAAGTTTCATTCAAATGTCAGTCACTTCTTCAGTTACATGCCTGTTCTAGGTATAACCCAGATATTCCTGAGTATTTGGTGTTTTCCTGTATTTTGAAAACTGGAATCTACAGGAACAATGAACCTTTTAACCTTTCCAGCTTCGTCAGGGGTGTTTGAACGAATGATTAAATGTTGTCTGTAGCTTCTTTATGCTGCAGAGACTGTATGGCCTGCACAGCCTAAAATATTTACTGTCTATCCAGCCCTTTATAGAAAAACTTGGTCAAACCTGTTTTAGATGCAAGAGATTCCTTCTAAATCTATTCTAAACAAGGATAAAACAAAGATAACGAAACAGGTAAT